AATGAGTACCTGGCCTGGACCACACAGCTGATAAGGAGCAAAGCCAGAATTCAAATGTGAATAGCTTCCTGGCTTCTCAGGGCTTGACTACCATGTTATAAGCAGCTCTATCTCCCCTATCTCCCTCCCTGGTTTGTTACTCACATTAACCCAGCTGCCTGCCCAGTCTAAGTAACTTCTTGGGAAAGCCTAACTCTAAAATCATCCAAGGGAAAGGAAGACAGTAGGTAATTGTGGAGATTTGTGCAGACAAAGGCCGTACCATCCAAAGCATGGAAAACAGCTGCTAAGATTAGCTTTTAATCAGCCAACTCTGTTTTTTGGAACCTCCATGACTTCTTTTCCAGCTCCTGATTCAGACAGGACCATTTTGACTCAGGTGACCGCTCAGCAGCATCTGTCCAGCATCATTAGGCATCTGGGGACAAACTCTTTGCTTGATACTAAACTGCACAGAGAGTGGGCTTGCTTTGTGCTGTCGGGGAGGCCTGTCAACATCCACAGCCATCTTCAGGTCAACCCCGGGGGCACTCACACTTTCCACATCTCCCACACAGAGAACTTGATTCATTAAGGCTGTCGCTGCTATGCAGGGCAGAGTCCAACAAAGCCAACGGATTTCAAGGTGCATGATCCAGCCATCTTTGCTCCATAAACTCTCACAGCTCCAATAAGAATGAGCTTTACAGATCTTTGTCCAAGCTCCTCACATGAGTCACAGATGAGTAAACAGAGGCTTACAGACAGTGTAGCAGCACCAGGACTAGGACAGAGCTCTGGCCGTCTGACTTCTAATTTAGTGCTCTTCTAGCTCTAATAAAAGGCAGTGAGTGACCTGACCATTGTTGGAAAGACTAATCTCTAATTTTTTTTTTTCTTTTTTTTTTTGAGACAGAGCCTCAAGCTGTCCCCCTGGGTGGAGTGCTATGGCATAACAGCTCACAGCAACCTCCAACTCCTGGGCTCAAGCGAGTCTCCTGCCTCTGTCTCCCAAGTAGCTGGGACTACAGGTGCCCACCACAACACCCGGCTATTTTTTGGTTGCAGCTGTCATTGTTTGGTGGGCCCGGACTGGATTCGAACCCACCAGCTCAGGTGTACGTGGCTAGCGCCTTAGCTGCTTGAGCCACAGGCACCGAGCCTCTAATTTTTTTTCATTGAGAAATAGAATTCTTGTTCATTATAATGTTGGAAGTTCCTTTATTCCCCACTTCTATGCTCCTCTACCCCAATGAAGTCATAGTTAATGATTTGGTGTCTAGAGTACTAAATGTGGATGTCTCCTTGCTATAGGGTGAAGACACTGTGAAGATGTTGCTGGAGTCTTTTCACAAATGCAAGTTTATCCACAAAGTGTCTATAGCTGCTCAATCAAAAAGTGCAGGCCAATAAAATCCCTTTTGTCCTGATTTGCAACTTGAATAGTACAAGAAAATCTTGCAATACAATAAAATGTGAATCCTGTTCAAAGACCTTCGGATGGGCTCCGCTCCTGTAGCTCAGTGAGTAGGCGCCAGCCACATACAGCAAGGCTGGCGGGTTCGAGCTCGGCTAGGGCCTGCTAAACAGCAATGACAACTGCAACAACAACAACAAAATAGCCAGGTATAGTGGTGGGCACCTGTAGTCCTAGCTACTTAGGAGGCTGAGGCAAGAGTATTACTTAAGCCCAAGAGTTTGAGGTTGCTGTGAGATGTGATGCCACAGCACTCTACGAGGGTGACAAATTGAGACTCTCTCTCAAAAAAAAAAAGACCTTTGGATGTTACAAAGCATATGGATTGTAAAGGACAGGTTAGGGTGTGGGTTTTGGCTCTGCCCTGGACTGCTGCATAAACTTGGGCAAGTTACTTTGCTTCTGTCTGCTTCAGTTTCCTCATTCATTAAATGGTACAAAATATAGTACCTACCTTAGAAATACTGCATACCTGGCACATGGTGAAGATTACTAAAATGTAGCTGATTACTAATGATATTGTCATCAGCCCTCCTAAATTGGAAGATAAGCAAAATTAAGGTATTTGCGTGTATCTTCCTACAGGTATTATTGTTTGGGGCAGGCCGGCATCATTCACCAATAGTTTACTACCTTGGGTGCTTGTCCTCTGGGTAGACCTTATAATACAAAGAGAGTGTACACTATCAGAATGTCCAGGGATGAGGATCTCGAGAAAAGAGTGTTAGTCTGAAGTAAGAGTTTGAGTTCTAGTCCTGGTTTTGTCACCAGACTCTCTGTATAACCTTGATCAATTACCTTTCCCCACTCCATTTCCTCCATTTCCTGATAGTGACATGGGGCATTTGGATGAGATCAGTGGTTCCCAATCTCAGCTCCCTTGTGGAGCCCTCTGCTAACTTTTTTTCTTTCTATGGATGCCATATGTGTATATTTTTTAATTAAAATTGTTTTTGTCCAGGCATGGTGGCTTATGCTTATAATCCTAGCACTCTGGGAGGCTAAGGCAGGTGGATTGCCTGGGCCCAGAGTTTGAGACCAGCCTGAGCAATAGTGAGAACCCATCTCTAAAAATAGCCAGGTGTTGGCTCGGCGCCTGTGGCTCGAGCGGCTAAGGCGCCAGCCACATACACCTAAGGTGGCGGGTTCGAATCCCCAGCCCAGGCCCACCAAACAACAGTGATGGCTGCAACCAAAAAATAGCCAGGCGTTGTGGCGGGCGCCTGTAGTCCCAGCTACTTGGGAGGCTGAGGCAGGAGACTCGCTTGAGCCCAGGAGTTGGAGGTTGCTGTAAGCGTGATGCCATGGCACTCTACCCAGGGGGATAGCTTGAGGCTCCGTCTCAAAAAAAAAAAAAAATAGCCAGGTGTTGTGGCAGGTGCCTGTAGTCCCAGCTACGAGGGAGGCTGAGGCAAGAGGATCACTCAAGCTTGAGATTTTGAGGTTGACATGAGCTATGGCACCATGGCACTCTGCCGAGGGTAACAAAGTAAAACTCTTGTCTCAAAAAAAATTGTTTTTTAATTTTATATTTTTATTTTGTTTTGAGATAGAGTCTTGCTCTATCACCATGACTAGAGTGCAATGGTGCGATGACAGCTCACTGCAACCTCCAAAACCCAGGCTTAAGTGATCCTCTTACCCCAGCCTCCGAAGTAGCTGTGTCTACAGGGTGCATGCTTCCATGCTTTGGCAGGATGCCATATTTTTAAAGATTGTTACTAAATAGAAATTGACTTATTAATAGTTTTTGTTTTTCAAAACAGTCTCACTTTGTCACCTTTGATAGAGTGCTTTGGCATCATAGCTCATAGCAACATCAAACTCTTGGGCTCAAGCAATTATCTTGCCTCAGCCTCCCAAGTAGCTGGGACTACAGGCGCCCACCACATCACCTGGCTATTTATTAGAGATGGGGTCTTGCTCTTGCTCAGGCTGGTCTGGAACTCCTGAGCTCAGGCAATCCACCTGCCTAGGCCTCCCAGAGTGCTAGGATTTCAGGCATGAGCCATCACACCTGGCCCTTATAGTTTTTAATCAGAACAAAACTAGGCTGGGTGCAATGGCTCATACCTATAATCCTAGCACTCTGGGATGCTAGGCAGGAAGATTGTTTGAGATCAGGGGTTTGAGACCAGCCTGAGCAAGAACAACACTCCCTCTACAAAAAATAGAAAAATTAGCAGTAGTCCCAGCTACTGAGAAGGCTGAGGTGGAAGGATCCCTTGAGTCCAGGAGTTAAAGGTTGCAGTGAGTTATGATGTTACTACTGCACTCTAGCCTTTTAGTCCCTAATTCTCTACTGACCCTCTCTCTTCCCAAACTGTACATGACCATGGTCCAGACCCCAAACAGCCAGACCAGAAGGACAGGCAAAGCAGAGCAAGAAACTGCATTTCCTGGGGCTCCTGCTCTTTGTCCCTCTGTCCTACTTAGACGCAGGACTAATATTTACCTTGCATACTGCAAACAGGAAGTGGGGAGGGATAGGGTGGGGCTGAGGGACAGTGTAGGATCAGAAGCCCAGGCCTGGCCCAGCAGAGACAGGCAGTGGAGAGAAAAGGATCCTGCCCCTACTCTGGGGCAGGCAGCAGGTTCTGAGAGTTGAGAAGATAATTGAGAGAGAGAGTTGAGAAGAGGCCCTGGGCCTGGCTCCTTGTCCCAGACACCCACCGCACAAACATACCTTCACCACACCCTGACAGGAAGGGGGAAGACATGGGATCTTCCATTAGTGGCTGGGAAGTGGGGGCTAAGATTGGTTGTCTTAACCCCCAGAGCCTCCTCCAGCAAGTGGGCAGCCACACCCTCGCCTCTGTTTCTTTTTTTTTTTTTTTTTGAGACAGAGCCTCAAGCTGTCCCCCTGGGTAGAGTGCTGTGGCATTACAGCTCACAGCAACCTCCAACTCCTGGGCTCAAGCGAGTCTCCTGCCTCCGCCTCCCAAGTAGCTGGGACCACAGGCGCCCACCACAACGCCCGGCTATTTTTTGGTTGCAGCCGTCATTGTTGTTTGGCGGGTCCCAACTGGGGATTTGAACCCCCACCTTAGGTGTACATGGCTGGCGCCTTAGCCGGTTGAGCTATAGGCGCCGAGCCGCCTCTGTTTCTTATATCTGTGAATGGTGATTATACAAACCTCCCTGATTTACATACGTAGATCTACTGATTATGAAGCATTGACTATATTTCATGGGTTTTATATTCATAATTTCCTTTAGTCCTCACAACAAATTATTGTACGGATGAGGAAACTGAGTCACACAGAGATTAAAAGCAACCATTATTGTGTGTCAGGATTGGGTGGAGCCTCAGGAAGGGTTTACAGCCCCATTGGCCCAAGCTCACCCATGTTCCAGGGGAGAATGTGGTGGGCACTGGTGTTACAGCGACCTGCTCTCTGTGACTTTCTCCCAAATCATCCATCCCAGTTCCCAGGAGGACCTGTCCTCCTGGATGACGGGGGCAGGCAGGAGGACTGTCTGTCCACTTGTCCTCATGGCCCTGACCTGATGACCTCTACCTCTCCGCTGATTTCTTCATGTTAGTTCAACATTAACTTGCAGGGGTCAGGATAGTCTCTCAGAGTCCCAGGGGCTGACACGCTATGGCGCACATCCGAGGCCTGCGGCTACTTGGCTGCCTGGCCCTGGCTGCCCTGTGTAGCCTTGTGCACAGCCAGCATGGTAAGGGGGGCTCTCAGGCTGGGATCTCCTGGTTCCACAGAGAACATGGGGGACCAGCCCCTAGATGGGTCCCAGCCCAGAGTGTCTGGCTTAGAGGAGCCAGGAGCTCCGGGCTGGGCAGAGGGCAGCCACTTCTGTCAATGTGGGGAGGGGGCTGAGGCAACCGATGAAAGGCAGGGAGCTAGGGGGCTTCATTCAGCAGCCTTCTGGGTACATCCACTATCCCAGATACCCCCTCGCAGAAGCTGGTGGGGCAGGGCAGACTTACTTCCAAGACAGCCTGGCTCCAGAGCCTACTGTCCAACGACCCTCCCACTACAGTGTTCCTGGCCCCTCAGCAAGCGCTGTCGCTGCTCCAGCGGAGCAGGGTCCGCCGTGCCAACAGTGGCTTCCTTGAGGAGGTACGCAAAGGCAACCTGGAGCGGGAGTGCTTCGAGGAGCTGTGCAGCTACGAGGAGGCTTTCGAGGCTCTGGAGTTGTCCAGCACCACGGTGAGCCCCGGGCTGTTCAGGGGGGGTGGCTGGTGTCCCTCATAGGGGCACAGCTCTAGACCCATAGGGGAGGAGAGTGAGGAACCTCCTTGCTTCCTTGCTATTGAGAACTTAATTTCAACTCTGAGTCCCATTTTACTGGGCTGGCAAGATGGGCAGCCCCAGCCTTTCTTGGGATCCCTACCTCTGGGCTATGACAAGGTTCCAGAGTCTAATGCAGCTCCATGACCTTGGGAGGCCTCCTTTGTCTTCAGATGTCTGTCTGTGATGGGGCTCTCTGGAGCCCAGGGCCCTGGCTCACTAGATCTCTTCAGCTTCAGTGTTTCTGCTGCTTCTGTGCCACCCTTAGGGGCTGGGACTCTGGAGTCCGGGAAACCTAGGCTCAGGCCTCAGTATTCCTAGAGCTCTGTGCAGCCTTTCCCTTCTGGAGGGGGTTTCTGCTGGGGCCAAACACCCCCTCTTCTCCCATCTCCCCGAGCCCAAGTGTATCCCTGTTCAGTCTTGGTGTGTGTTTTAGGGGAGATTCCCCTGTCCTCAAATACTCTTCTCCTTTTGGAGACAAAAGTAGATTCTGCCAAATCTACTTTCAAACAAATCTGTTTGTTCAGACAAACCTGCCTAGCGTCTGCCCCCTATGCGACCAAGATAAAGTAAAGAGGAAATTATGAAGAGAAGACATAAAGTTTACTAAAACAAAACAAAACAGGATCCTGCCATAGTCTTACTCCCAGCCCTTGTTTTTTAGGATGTATTCTGGGCCAAGTACACAGGTGAGCATTGGGAAGGGTTTGCCCCAGGAAGGGAGGCCTGGGGACCCCACTTAGGGAATATTCTATCCCAGAGAATCTTTTGGTACATCCAATCATCCATCCATCCATCCACCCCCCCTTCCTTCTTTCCTTTCTTCTATACATCTCTGTTTCTCAATGTCATCCCACTTATCCTCGATTCAGCCCATCCTCCCTCACCCCAATCCAAAAGCTGTTTCTGGGTCTTTTCCAGCTTGTGCATCAGTGAGGAAGCCACGAGAAAAGTTCAATGAATGTATGGAAGGTGAGCAACTGACCACAGGGTGTGGGGCTGGTGGGGGAGCCTAGGACAAGAAGAGGGCAGGGGCTGGTCAGGAGCATGGTCCAGTGATGGCAGTCTCTAGTATATGACATTGCCTTCTGTTCCCGAGGTCAAGGTTGTATCTTTGCATCAAGCTCTGTATCCAGCAGTCAGTAAGATGATTAATGCTGGCTGTGTGCGGTGGTTCATGCCTGTAATCCAGCACTCTGGGAGGCCAAGGCCGGTGGATTGCCTGAACTCACAGGTTCAACACCAGCCTGAGCCAGAGTGAGACTCCATCTCTAAAAATAGCCAGGCATTGTGGTTGCTGCCTGTAGTCCCAGCTACTTTGGAGGCTGAGGCAAGAGAATTGCTTGAGCCCAAGTATTTGAGGTTTCTGTGAGCTATGATGTCACTGCACTCTACCGAGGGTAACAGAGTGAAACTATATCTCAAAAAAAAATGCTGGAGGAACAACTGAATGAAAGGATAATACCTTAATGTTTAAGGACTGCCTTTCATTTGCTTGACCTGAGGTTGTGCCCATCCTTGTAAGAATTTGGATCATATCATGTTCATTTTCCAAAACCTTTAGGGACACCCCACTAAATACAGAGTAAAGCACAGGCTTCTTAGCCTGGCAAACTGTCCTTCTAGCCTGCCCTCCCACTGCACAAAACATGAACCCAAACCCACAGCTATTCTAACAGCAAGGACTTCTCTAAATATGCCCAAAGTGGGGCAGTGCCTGTGGCTCAAAGGAGTAGGGTGCCAACCCCATATACCAAAGATGGCGGGTTCAAACCAGCCCCGGCCAAAAAAAGAAAACTGCAAAAAAAAAAAAAAAAAAAAGATTAAATACGCCAAAGTGTTTCTGTTTCCTGGGCCTTGCTTATTACCTTCCTCTGGAGCAACCATCACGGCCTATGGAACACTTTCCTGTCCTTCAGGGACTGGTTCAAATGCCACCACCTTCACTGAGCCTTCAGGGAGCCTCCGCCCTCCTCCCCAGCTTCTGAACACACTTCAGTATGACAACAGGTTTTGCTACATGACACTGTACTCACTGGCCATGCTTTCACTTGTTAGATAACTTACTTAACAAGTAATGTACATGTATTAAGCCCTACCAGGCACTGTGTTAGGGGGTTTTAAGAAAATCAAATACAGTCCCTCCCTTCAAAGAACTCACAATCTCATTGGAAAACAAAAATACAAAATGTTGAAGTGATTGCTAGAAAAGCTCTGTTCAAGGTGCCAAGAAACACAAGAGAAAAGAGCATCTAGTTTGCTAGCAGGAGAGATGGATTCCCAGAAGAAGCAGAGTTCTGCCCGGCCTGCGGGATGCATCAATGAACAAACAGGAGAGCACTGTGGGCAGATGAAGCAGTACGTGCAAAGGCACTGAGGCCTGAGGAGCCAAGCTGACAGGGACAGGCAGACCAGGGCCTGATTAAAAGAACCTTGTTTACTTTTTCATCCTGCTGGCCATGAGGAGCCACTGAACAGAAGTTCCATGAGGGCAGGGACATCCCTTGACGGTGACTGTCTTATTCATCCATACGTCCTTAGTACCCAGCACTGTGCCTGTCACATGGTTGTCACATGGTGGGTACTCAGTGAATATTTGGTGACTACTGTTAAATGGATTGGCAAATTGTTGGTCTCAGGGAAGGTGCTGAGCAAGAGCAGATTAAGGACAGTGAATCAGAGAGAGCTTGGAGAGGATGGATAGACAGAGGTCTGCTAAGAAAGGAGGGACAGATCCTTAGGATCTGATACTGACCTCGTCTCTGCAGGTAACTGTGCTGAGGGTCTGGGTGTGAACTACCGAGGGCATGTGAACTTTACCCATTCAGGCATCGAGTGCCAGCTATGGCGGAGTCACTACCCACATAAGCCTGAGTGAGTAATGGGCAAGTCTGTCCCCCAGGGCCTGAGGACAGGGAACAGGGACAACTGGGAGGCACAGCATTCTACTGGGCAATTTTCTATTTCAGAGTCAATTCCACCAGCCATCCTGGGGCTGACCTACAGGAGAATTTCTGCCGCAACCCAGACGGTAGCACCACAGGACCCTGGTGCTATACTACAGACCCCACAGTACGGAGGGAAGAGTGCAGCATCCCTGTCTGTGGTGAGCTGGGGTGATGACCTAGTCCATGACCAAGGCCCTTCATAGAGCCTGGCAGGCATTCAAAACACATTTGTGCCTGTTGATCAATGAAGTCTGGGGACCTAGGGAGTTGGCTGCCAGTGCCCTTCCCCTCTCTGGTCTTTACTTCCTTACCATCCAGGCTGTGGCATGCTTCCTTCCTGCTCAGGTGCCCTTCTTCTAGGAAATCTTCCCTAGGCATTCAGACCACATGCCCTATTCTGAGCATTACAGAGCAAGCTGCATGCAACTCAGCCTTTCATGATTCTGTAATGGTGTATTAGATAGCGGTAATCATGTTAATGCTGCCAAACAAACCATTGCAACATCTCCGAGGCATCCACATCAGCATGTCTTCCTTCTGTGATGAGGGTTGGTGGGAGTGGCTCTATTGAGCTCGGCTGCATCTGTGGATGTGTCTGTGGAGTCAAGTGATTCAGGCTTGGCTGTGTGGTTCTGCTTCAAACAATGGCTCTGGCTGAGCATGGCTTCTTGCTGCTTGTTGGCCCCGAACTGCTCTGGGGCTGAGGCTGAAAGGCAGCAAATGCTTGGGGAAGATCTTCTCATGGTGATGGCAGGAGCACAAAATAATGAGCAGACATGCACCATTTGTCTTTTATTTTTGCCCAGGGCTGGGTTTGAACTTGCCACCTCTGGTATATAGGGCCGGCGCCCTACTCCTTTGAGCCACAGGTGCACCCTTGGTAGAGTGCTGTGACGTCATAGCTCACAGCAACCTCAAATTCTTGGGCTTAAGCGATTCTCTTGCCTCAGCCTCCCAAGTAGCTGGGATGACAGGTGCCTGCCACAACGCTTGGCTATTTTTGTTGTTGCATTTGCCATTGTTGTTTTTAGCAGGCCTGGGCCAGGTTTGAACTCACCAGCCCCGGTATACGTGGCTGGCACCCTAACCACTGAGCAACGTGAGCCAAGCCACATCATTTGTCCTAAAGCCTAAGCTCAGAACTGGCACAGTCACTTGTGCCCATGTTCCATTGGCCAGAGCAAGTACATGTTCAAGGCCAAAGTTAAGAGGTGAATACACTTCAGCCTATAAAGTCACAGGGAGTTAAAGGATGCCCTGGCCAGTCAAAGGATGTTAAAACAAGTAGGGGTAAGAAATTTGTACCCTTACTTTCATCCTCCAAACATATGTTGGTGTTTTTTGTTCTCTTTGTATCCCTGCTGGATCCATTATTTGATCCTGGGACTAGTCTTCTAGAAAGTTACTAATCATCCTAGCAACACTTGCTACCTTTACCCCCCACCCAACACACACACTGATGATAAGCATATTGCAGGTATGGAGAAACTGACCTACTGCCAGGTGAGACATCCTTGGTGGATCCCAGCAATCTTTCCCCTGGAAAAACATAGAATCCTCCTAGACAGTCCCTACCAGTTGATTACAGATAGCTCTGGTGGCCAAAACGGCTTACTATCACTGGTTTATTTTGTGTCAGACACTTGTGCTGTGTATTTTGTTTGACATTCTCCACAAACCTACAAGAATGGCATTGATAACCTCAGAGAGAGGTTAAGTGACCCAAGGTCACACAGGCAGAAAGCAGCAAGACAGGGATTACAATCCTCATGTGTCTGGCTCAGTGTATGGCTCTGCCCTTGATACTCCCTGCCTCCTCACCTAAGGTGACCAGATTTTAACATTGGTAAAGCGGGACACCATTGACTGAGGGTGGTGGTGTTCTTAATTAAAAATTTGGTCTATATGGAGCAACAAAAATTTTCATAGAAAGCAAAAGTAGTATTGTAATATATTTTTTAAAATTTCAACATAAGTACAATTTACAAATATAATACATTTAAAAAATTATGTATAGTATTTTATTCTTTGGCATATTTCTCATTTGAGTGAATTTTTTTTAGTAGATTACTGTTATTGTTTAAAAGGTCATGAAATTTTTCACAAGAATTTGTTAAATTATATTTCACACATAAAATGGCTTTCAAAGTCTCAACACTTAATTGTGATTTTTCTGATATCCACACTTTATTTACTGTAGAAAAAGCATGTTTGGTTGCAGCATTAGTTCCTGGTAAGGACAGCATATATACCACAATTTTTAGTGCATTATTGTATGGAACATGGTTTATTTCAAAATGATGAAATATTTCTAACCATTTGTTCTCCATTGTGATTTTTGCTGATGCCCAAGATTTAACCTTTTCCTTATCAATCAATAATGATACCCCATAAGTCATAAGTATCACTTTCAAGGCCGGCGCTAGACTTTTTGCTGCCACTATAAAATATAAATAATATGAGTACTGTCTACTAAATTCATGAAGTAAATAAATAAATTACTTACCTAAATTATCTGAATAGCTGATTTGTTGATATCACTTGTTTAACTAGCACTAGCACTGCAGTATGATGTATGGTCTGAGAGACAGTTACAAAATGTTTTCGTTGTTGCCAATGCCAAAAAATGCCATTGTTCATTAAGTCCAAACAATGGTGGTCAAATTCTAACAACTGATCAACAGTTCTTGATAATCAGTTCTCAACAATTATTTGTTGTTATTAAAGTTTAACATTCTAAAATCAACAAAAATAATATAAAACTCATATCCTGGTGAAATAGCCACATGGCAGCCGAAAACTGTATATTCCCTTCCCATTCTCCCACCGTTCCCTAGCTTGTCATGCATTCTTTCCAAAAATTGGGACTTTTTAAAACCACCATGGGATGTGGGACAAATTGCTAAAAGTTGGGATTGTCCCGCCAAAAGAGGGACATTTGGTCACCTTATCCTCACCCACCAGGCCAAGAGCATTCCACTGTCAAGACGACTCCTCGCTCCAGAGGCTCCAGTCTGAAAGAGTCACCTACACAGGAGCAGTGCATCCCTGATCGGGGCAAGCAGTACCAGGGACGCCTGGCCGTGACCACACAGGGGTCCCCCTGCCTGTCCTGGGCCAGCACAGAGGCCAAGGCTCTAAGCAAGGACCAAGACTTTAGCCCAGAGGTGCCACTGGTGGAGAACTTTTGTCGTAACCCAGATGGGGATGAGGAGGGTGCATGGTGCTATGTGGCGGATAAGCCTGGTGACTTTGAGTACTGCGATCTCAACTACTGTGGTGAGCAGACAGGGCAGGGGGCTTGAAATATACAGGACAAAGCCTAGGGGAAAATAAAGGCCAACAGTCTTATCTTAGGTTTACCAGCTGAGTGTGTTCATTACCGTCTTATAGTACCTGGGTGGTGGTAGGTTCTATGCCCACTTTACAGATAAGTAAACTAAGGCTCTGGGAGATTACATTACTTGATAACCCAGGTGTATATGCACTCTTACCCCTGCACTAGATGGTCTTAAGTCCAGCTCGGGTAATAGGGGGTCCTGAGGTGGGTGATAAATAGCCCAGCCCAGTCCCAGCCAATGCCTGGGTCCCTCCAGATGTGGCTATGGAAGAGGAAGGAGATGAGCTGGACCCGGAAACAGCCATTGAAGGGCGTACCACCACCAGTGAGTTCCAGACCTTCTTCAATCCGAAGACCTTTGGTGCCGGGGAGGCAGGTGAGGCTTTGGCATCACTGTGCAGGGGCTGTGGGGCTGGTGGCCTGGATTGGCCCCTCACAGCCTGGCTTGCTATTGCAGACTGTGGGCTGCGGCCTCTGTTCGAGAAGAAGTCGGTGAAGGACAAAACAGAAGACGAACTTCTGGAGTCCTACATAGAGGGGCGCATCGTGGAGGGCTCGGATGCAGAGATGGGTATTGCGCCCTGGTGCGTCTGGGGCTGCATTACCACACACTGTGGGCACCTGCTACCTGCACCGCCACCCCCTAGCTGAGCACCCATGACCTCACCTCTCCTCACAGTACCCCTGTGGAATCAGGTTCATTATTTCTATGTCCTAAGCAGATGACGAAGCTGAGGCTCTATGAATTAAGTGACTGTCCCAGGCAGCTACTAATGGGTTGCACAGTCAAAATTTGACTCCAGTTCTTTTGACTCCAGAGCTGTGCTAAGCTGTGTCAATTCTGGACTGGAAGAAACTGGAGAACGGGGTACAAAAACCATAAGGACACCCCTCATCATTGTAGAGGATCCAGTTCCCAAGGGCAGCCAGGCCAAGCTGGGACCTGGACCTAGTAGGCAGCTCTGTCCCACTAGTTCTTAGACCAGGGCAGGTAGAAAGGCAGCCTCTAGCTCCTGAGCTTCCTGCTTCCCTTCCCAGGCAGGTGATGCTTTTCCAGAAGAGTCCTCAGGAGCTATTGTGTGGAGCTAGCCTCATCAGTGACCGTTGGGTCCTCACTGCTGCCCACTGCCTCCTGTACCCACCGTGGGACAAGAACTTCACTGAGAATGACATTCTGGTGCGCATTGGCAAGCACTCCCGTACCAGGTACAGAACCTGTACTCCATGAGTGTCTGGTGGAGGTCTGAGTCCTCCAGAGGGCCCATGAAGAGTTCTGGTGACCTTAGGGCATGTGGGATATGTCTGTATATCCCTCACAACATGACATCTGAGCAGGCCCTGCTGGAAGGTCCATTTGGGCATGTCCTGACCAAGGCTTGGAAGCTGAGGACAGAGAATGAAATCATTGTTTGCCTCTAGCTCCCCTGCTTGGGCTGTCTGACTCCAAGGCCCTGTATGGCTTTAGGGCCAGAACAAAGCTGCCAGGGGCTGGTCACCCTGACTCCTGGAGCCTGAGAGCAGGCAGTTTCCTTCCTTAGGGAACTGGCTGGCCCTCAATGGGTGGACCTACAGCTTCTCCATTATTCTGTTGGGTTCTACACACAGGTACGAGAGAAATATTGAAAAGATCTCCATGCTGGAAAAGGTCTACATCCACCCCAGGTACAACTGGCGGGAGAACTTGGACAGGGACATTGCCTTGCTGAAGCTCAAGAAGCCCATCACCTTCAGTGACTACATTCGCCCCGTGTGCCTGCCTGACAAGGAGATAGTAGCCAGGTGTGGTGGCCAGAGGGCTACTGGCTGAGGTGGCAGAGGCTGGGTGCAGGCCTGGCTCTGATGCTGAGTAGCCTTCCAGAAGTCCTTTCTCCTTTTCCAGGCCTGTTTCTTGGAGTGAACCTAAAAGTTCTTTCCAGTATCAGTGTTTTAGGTTTTGGTCACTAATGAATGGAGCTGGGGCTTAGAAGCTATTCTAGGAGTGGTTCTCACCAGGTCCTTTTCCCTTCCCTAAAGGTTGTTCCGTGCTGGATACAAAGGGCGAGTGACAGGCTGGGGCAACCTGAGGGAGAAGTGGACACCCGGCACTGAAGAGGGGCAGCCCAAGGTCCTGCAGGTGGTGAATCTGCCCCTCGTGGAGCGGCAGGTCTGCAAGGCCTCCACCCGGATTCGCATCACTGACAACATGTTCTGTGCTGGTAATTCTGAGCCTTGCAGGCCATGGGACCAAGAGGGTCTGAGGTTGGGAGGACTGGACATGTTACAAGTACAAACTTGGGTTCAAGTCTTGGCTCCAAGCCATATGACTTTGGGCAAGTTGCCTAACCTGTTGGTGGTTCAGTTTTTTCACTCTGTAAAATGGAGGGAAAAGCCTCTATTCTATAAGGTTGTGTGATATGAGCACATGTTTGGCATGGTGCCAGTCACCAGCGAAGTGTTCTGTATATGGGAGCTGAGTAGCAACAGGAGGCTGTGGGGTGAGGAAACACCATTCATTCATTCATTCATCCAGTGAGTCAGTTGTTCATTCAGCGAATGTTTATTGAGCACCTACCTACCATGTTCCATGCAGCATTCTAGGGTATATACAACAGGGGCCCAAACAGACCATGCTTGTGTCTTTGGAGAGCTTCTTTTCTAGAAAGAGGAATCATCAACAAACTGGTCTAGAACATCAATCCCTGAAAGTGCTATGAAGAAAAACAAAGAGTAAGGGAGAGAGTGAGGAGGTGATCTTCTCATTGGTGTGGCTCAAGGAGGCTGGAGAAGGCTTCTCTGAGAAGGTGGTGTTTGAGCAAACACTGGGAGAATGAAGGAAGGAGTCAGCCAGGTGTGTCTAGGGGGATGCTCTGTATGCCCAGGAGACGGCAGGTACAAAGGCCCTGTGGCAGGAGTATGTTTGTCTTGTCTTAGGAGTTCAGGGTGGGGCTGGAGCTCAATAAACATAGGAAGTGCACCAATGGATAAGATGGAGGTGGTGGGAGGCAGAGTACAGGTACTTTGCTTAGGGCCTTGAAGGACTTTGGCTTTTATTGAGTAAAATGGGAACTTACTGGGGAGTTTGGGGAAGGTGAATAAATGATCTGATTTATTTGAAAAACTTTTTTTTTTTTGAGACAGAGCCTCAAGCTGTCCCCCTGGGTAGAGTGCCATGGCATCACATCTCACAGCAACCTCCAACTCCTGGGCTCAAGCGAGTCTCCTGCCTCCGCCTCCCAAATAGCTGGGACCACAGGCGCCCACCACAATGACTGGCTATTTTTTGGTTACAGCCGTCATTGTTGTTTGGCGGGCCCGGGCTGGATTTGAACCCTCCACCTTAGGTGTATGTGGCTGGTGCCTTAGCCACTTGAGCCACAGGCGCCGAGCCTATTTGAAAAACTTTAAAAAAATTTTTATGTGGACATGGGGTGCGGTGGCTCACACCTGTAATCCAAGCACTCTGAGAGGCAGAGGTGGGTGGATTGTCTGAGCTCTGGAGTTTGAGACTAGCCTGAGCAAGAGCAAGACCCCATCTCTAAAAATAGCCAGGTGTTGTGGTAGGCACCTATAGTCCCGGCTACTCGGGAGGCTAAGGCAAGAGAATCACTTGAACCCAAGAGTTTGAGGTTGTTGTGAGCTATGATGTGATGGCACTCTACTGAGGACAACAAAATGAGATTCTGTCTCAAAAAAAAAAAAAATTAAAACATTAATATTTTAGGCCGGGCTCGGTGGTTCGTGCCTATAATCCTAGCACTCTGGGAAGCTGAGGCAGGTGGATTGCTTGAGCTCATGAGTTCAAAACCAGCCTGAGCAAGAGCAAGACCTGTGTCTCTACTAAAAATAGAAAAACAGAGGCAAGAGGATCACTTAAGCCCAAGAGTTTGAGGTTGCTGTGAGCTGTGATGCGATGGCACTCTACCCAGGATGACAACTTGAGACTCTGTCTCAAAAAAAAAAAAAATTAACATTTCACATACTCCAAAAATAAATAATACAACATATTTTTTTGGGGGGGGGCAAAAGTGAATATAATTATATATATATTTTTGAGACAGAGTCTCAAGCTATCTCCCTGGGTAGAGTGCTGTGACATCATAGCTCACAGCAACCTCAAACTCTTGGGCTTAATCGATTCTCTTGCCTCAGCCTCTGAAATAGCTGGGACTATAGGCACCTACCACAACACCCAGCTGTTTTTTTTTAGTCACCCTCGGTAGAGTGCTGTGGCATAATAGCTCACAGCAACCTCTAACTCTTGTGCTTAGGTGATTCTCTTGCCTCAGGCTCCTGAGTAGCTGGGACTACAGACGCCCGCCACAACGCCTGGCTAATTTTTTTGTTTCAGCTTGGCCAGGGCTGGGTTTGAACCCTCTAGCCTTGGTATATGGGGCCAGCGCCCTACTCACTGAGCCACAGGTGCTACCTGCCCAGCTGTTTTTTGGTTGTAGTTGTTGTTTGGCAGGCCTGGGCTAGATTTGAACCCACCAGCTCTGGTGTATGTGACTGGCACCCTAGCTACTGTGCTATAGGTGCCGAGCCATGAATATAATTATGAACAAGAGAACCTCATGTTATCTTAAATAAATAACAGAGGTGAGCGGTGCCTGTAGCTCATTAGGTAGGGCCCTGGCCACATGGAGACTGGCAGGTTCAAACCCGGCCCAGGCCTGCTAAACAACAATGACAACAATAACAACAAAAAAGCCAGGTGTTGTGGTGGACACCTGTAGTCCCAGCTACTTGGGAGGCTAAGGCAAGAGAATTGCTTAAGCCTATGAGTTTGAGGTTGCTATGAGCTGTGATGTCATGCCACACTACCAAGGCCGACAGCTTGAGACTCTGTCTCCAAAAAAAAATTAATGACAGAGGAGAGGAGGGAGAGTTAACCTAAGTAAGAAACTTTTGAACACAGTACCGTATTTTGACTGTATATTGTCAGGCTGAAGACAAAAACAAATGCTCTGATCTTGAACTCCTGAGCTCAGGCAATCCACATGCCTTGGCCTCCCAGAGTGTTAGGATTACAGGCATGAGCCACTATGCCTGGCCTGATTCTTTTTTTTTAGACAGAGTTTCACTTTGTTGCCTTTGGTAGAGTGCTGTGGCATCATAGCTCAGCATAGCAACCTCAAACTCTTGGGCTCAAGTAATTCTCTTGCCTCAGCCTCCCAAATAGCTTGGACTCCAGATGCCTACCGCAATGCTTGGCTATTTTTAGAGACAGGGTCTCGCTTTTGCTCAGGCTGTTCTCGAACCTGTGAGCTCAGGTAATCCACCTGCCTTGGCGTCCCGGAGTGCTAGGATTACAGTCATGAGCCATTGCACCCGGCCTACAACAGGCATTTTTGTCTCATCACTCTGCTGTCCTGCAGCACAGGTGTTGTGATTGCTGTTTTGCAAATGAGGAAACTAAGGTTTGGAGATGAGTACCTGGCCTGGACCACACAGCTGATAAGAGGCAAAGCCAGAATTCAAATGTGACTGGCCTCCCAGAGTGCTAGGATTACAAGTGTGAGCCACCATGCCTGGCCTGGCCTGGCCTGATTCTTGATTTTGTTTTTTTTTTTTTTTTT